TTGTAAGGAAAAAGGTGATGCAGAAACAAATTGATGTTAAGCATGTTCCAGCTATTGATCAGGCAGCTAATGTGCTTACTAAGCCTATATCAAGTTTCCAGTTTCCTATTCTTAGAAACAAACTCAAAGTTAAAAGTCTTTCAACCTTAAGTTTGAGGGAGGCTGTTAGAGATAACTGATTAGTTATGTTGTTATTAGCCAGTTACATTAGTGTACACGTGTCAGTAAAGCATTGGTCTTTGTTATAATTAGTTAGAGCTTAGTTGAGCTATTTAAGATGTTACTGTACAGTTTATTCAGTAATGAAAAAGATTGATTTCATTCATTAGAAAATATCTCATTCTTCTTTTCTCTTAAACTCAATAGTTGACATTGTGAACTCCATCGACAAGTGACGATCGACATCTTCTGGTTCCGCTGCAAGCCAAGGCAACTGTCCGTCTGTTGGTAACCGAATCAAATTCGGATGCGGAAGCGTGGCGGGGAGGCGGATCGTGTATAACAAAAATTTCATAAAACTTTTGAGATACTCTATAGATTATATTAATTTATGCACGAATAAATTAATCGCATTAATTTATATGTCAAGAACTCAATTAGGAAAAATACCTGGAGGCCGACTCGGATGATAACTTGAGTTCTTTGACCACAAACAGTCCTTGCTCCAATCTTTCTGTTTAGAAAACCAAAGTCTTCCACGTCAATTTCTTGATTCCACGTAGACGTGTGTGTGGGCACACGTGAGACAAAACATGTTTCAAAAAACACTCGAATTTTCACAAACACCAACGCATGCACGATGTGAAATTTTTTGGGAGAAAAAATTTTCCTCTCTCTTCCTTTTGAGAAATTCGGCCACTCTCACAAATTAGGGCAGAAAATTATTTTCAAAAAAAATTGTGTTCACAATTTTCTATCATTCTCATATTTAAAGAGTAAAAGTTAAACTTTAAAAAGGAATCAAATCTCTGTCACCTATTTAAATTTAGAACAAAAAATCTCCTACCCCTTATCCCTTAAGTGGCCGGCAACCCTAGGGTTTTTATCCCTGTGTGTGGCGCCAATTGCAGATAGGGAAGGAAGAGAAAATCATCATTTATCCTGCAGTCCAATTTTAATTCAAATTCAAATTCTAATTTAAGTCAAACTTAAATTAATTTGAATTCTAAATTGAACAACTTATCAAATAAGTTTAAAATGATAAATTTAACTTATGTTCACAATTCAAATTCAAATTTAAATAATCACATTATTTAAATAATAATTATTTCTCAATTAATTATTTTTCGAGTATTTAATTTTAGAATTCTATAATTCTAAAATTTCCATTTTGTCCTTTGTGTCTGGTAGAATTACAAGGACGACGCGGGGACTTATGGACCTATAATCCCGAGCTCCAATAAAATTAATAATTAATTAAACACTTGAATTAATTAATTAATTCTATTAATTCCAATAGTTACTCCACTATAAACTTGGAATTGAACTCTCAAAATTATAGACATTAATTACTTCTAAACTGTGAAGTTACCATTTAATATAGTCATTGCATATAGATCAATCCTCCATAAATAATTCATAATTAGAGTCAGGTAGAATCCGTTAACCTATCTAATTATATATTCATCCTTGAGTACCATTGATTCTCTAATGGATAGTGATTCATAAAACACATTCATGAACCAGAGCGCTCTTACTAATCCAAGTACCGAATCAACACTCAAGAGAATTATTTATCTACTTCTTTCTCAAGAAGGAATGGATTCCATCTCATATAATAACATTCCCGGCTACCTATTTCATCATGTCTCCAAAATACAAGGAATAGGATTCAGGGTCTCAGAATCCATACCGAGTAAATCAAAAGACATAAATCCATAAATAGGAGTTTGTTAAGAACTCAGGATTAAGATTATTCTATATATGACCATCGGTAGACTCAATTAGAATTTCTATGCTTAACGGAAATTATTAGAAATTCATATTGTGTCTGTGTCCCTGTTTCACACAATCTCATTATGCGAAATACACGCATTCAATATCTCACCATATTAATAGTGCGGATAGCACCGTTCTATTCTAAATAGAAATGACATATATTAATAATGTTTTAATTAAAGATTCTGAACTTTAATTAAATTCATTATGATCAATATTTTTGATCATTATCCTCAAACACTTTTCTCTCGTATATAACACTTATATACAATGTTTAAAGTTACATAAATAATCACGGAATTTTCATTTGATATTCATAAAATATTCATAAATATATGCACATAAAATGATGAATAAACTCTTTTATTATTTAAATAATAAATATCTTATTACTTCTTATGCTTCTAGGATACTATTCCCAATACTGTCAAGATATACGAGATCTCCAGTCTTGCCCGCCCACAATGGCGACCGTCATAGGAGGTAAAGCTTGGTGGAGGACCAGAAATGTCTATGGTGGAGGATCCCTCAAGCCCTTTATGGCCGTATGGTAAAGAAGATACAGATGGTTTCTTTTCAATTTTTTGTGGAAAAAGACAAAACAAGGTTGAAAAGCGACGGTTCTAACGCCGTTAGAAAGATTTAAGAAAGAGCTGAGGTGTAAATATTTAATAGAGAGACAACGAACGAGACAGCGAAATCAGGACAAGAGATCTGAACACTTTTGTAAATTTTGAAGACGAAAAAGGAGCTTTTAAGTGCCGTGCCTTCATGTAATACGGCAGGTAAGTAAGTTTGCATTGTTGCTGATATCTTCTTTTTTGCTGCTTCTTGGTGGCTGATGAATATGATTGAGTTCATGGATGCAATCATGCAAACGTATTTGTTAAAGAATTCAATTCATGTTATACATTTGGCATGGCATGAATAGTACAATTTAAACATAATGAGGCCAAATTATTTAGTATTAGGATTAATTTCAAAATTTTTCCTCAACTAAACTTTATAATACTTTGTCTATTAAATTTTAAAATGTAACACTCAATCATTTTAAATTTTATTTTGTTAATAATTTTACCCTCTCTATTATTTTGAGTGACATAATTCATTGCGTGTCTATTATTTAATCAATTTAAAAAGAATAATATTATAAAATGTCTTATAAAAAGCCCAAGTTATTAAAAAATGGATTAAAAAACTCAAATGTAAAAATAAAGAAGAGATTGGAAAATGAAGAAAGGATTAATCCAAGTTAATTAGGATTTTAAGTTTTTCCTCAAAAAAAAAGGTCTGAGAAATAAAATCCTTCTTCATTGTAAATTCTTCTGTGAATCACTTCCAATGACTATAACATGAGACAATATTAGTGAATTTAATCATATTGACAGTAAATTTAAACTGTCATGACCTATTCATGTATTGCACTTTCAACTACCTTCTCTCCCTCAGCAAGATTTTCAAAAAAAAAAAAAAAAAAAATCAGTAAGGGGCTTCACATATTGATATTGTGAAAGGTTTGTAATGCTATTCGAATCAGAAGAATGAATTCCAGAAGCATTCAAGTCCAAGGCAGTAACTTTAAAATCCGCTTCTTCTGAAAGTGCTGTAATACCAACACTAAGCACCAAATCCACATCTGTCAACAAGGATAAAATTGCGGGTTTCTAGATCATCCAAGCACCAAATCCACATCTGTCAACAAGGACAAAATTGCGGGTTTCTAGATCATCCAATTTTATATCCTGTCTAAAGAAAAACTCAGGCATCTCATAACCTTATAAAATAAAATAAAATAAAATAAAATAAGTAGTCAAGAAAGGATGAAGATAAATGTTTCACACCCAATTTAGAAGAACATAATCCTTTCAGAGGTAGGAAAATTAGTTTTTGGGAATGATTATGGTGATCTCTGTTGATATATGGAACATGGAGGAATAGTTATTCTAAACGAAGATGTGACAAAGATGGATATAAGTGTAATTTTACTTTCAAATCTCACTAAAAAATAGACACGTGGTGAATTATGTCATTCAGAGTAACGGAGAGGGTAAAATTGTTAACGGAACAAAGTTCGGAGAGATTGAATGTTACGCTTTGAAATTCATAAGGCAAAATATTACATGGGTCATAATTCATGAAGAATTTTTAAAATTAATCTTTAGTATTAACTTGGGGAAATATATATTATATATAGACGAGTTTTTAATGGTTACGTTTTATTATTGACCGTCTATAAATATAAAAATTTGATGATGCGGCATGATTAAAATCTAATTTAATTAATTTTTTTAGGTAATTATTTAATTTATTACAACCATCGAATTAATATTTTATAAATAAAATAATAATATTTATTAATGAATAAATAATAGAGTAACTATTTAAGCCACGTATAAATTTCATCCGTTATTTTCTACTTGTTTGCAAAGCAAACAGTTTATTATTATTATTTTTAAAACTTTAATTTAAAAATAAAATCAAGTTTAAATTACTTGTTAGATTATATGTGTAACCACTTTTCAATAACGTGTTAACAAGATCTTTTCTCAATGTAATTTGCACATAAAACTTATTGAATTGAGAGTGTCTAAGCTGTGAGATATGAATTGAGATCTTGTACAGGGTGAATAGCCCTTGAGTTCATGTGTGCTTTTATTACAAGTGAAGAGGGAAAGGTATACGAGGCGTGGGCTTTGCTTTTCAGTCGTAGATTTTATGGGCTGGAATTGGAACAAGTCCAATCACAATGTCAGGTGGGTGTGATTTGCGCGTTATAATAAAGTCAGTGCTACTGGTGAACTTTTATAGTGCGTATAATAATGAGAATAAAAATAAAAATAGTAACGAGAATAGAATGAAAAAAAAATTATTTATTTAGTTATAATATTAAAAAAATTTTAGAATGGAACTTGAATATTTTTATGTTAATAAATGTTATATATAATATTAATATTTTATCTATTAATATAATATAATAAATTTATTATTATATAATTATCATATATAATATAGGAATGGTCTTTAGTCAGGCAGTAATAAAAATGTCTGATTGATCCGTTCAGTAATTATGACCGTCGGATAGAAATTTGGATAGTGTAGATCGAAAAGTTTATTTCTCAAAAGACCTCCCTTTCTCAAACGCACGAGCATTTCCAAACCTACTTCTCTCCCGACCTCCCTCGATCTTCCTTGAGCTCCATCGACCTCCTCCGCAGCCACCTCGCCGCCGGTGACTATTGACAGGCGGACGAGGCCGCGTCCCGACAACTCTCACAACCAAACCCACTTCTCTCTCGTCCTCCACCCTCACATTTCCTCTCTCCTCAAACATCACCATTTCCTCCTCTTTCTCCGCCGCCGTTTCCTCGACCGCCTCCACATGCATCTTGTTGTAATTTATAATAATAATTCTTATTCTTATTGTTGAGAAAGAAGTAAGATTCTTTTTACACGAATTTTTTTTTCTTTTGGGGATTTTGATTTGATTTTTAAGGGGCAAGGGCTTGCTTCTTTTTCTTCTGTTTTTTTTTTTTTTTTTTTGCCTATACTTTACTCTTCTATTTTATCGCTTGTTTATGATTTTATTATAGGAGGTACGAACTCGCATGTTGTGGGTCGTTGATTTTTCTTGATTTCCTTATTTGGGGTTTGTGATTTTGAGGGTATTTGTGCGAAAGATTTCTGGGTTCTGTCTCGGTTCTGTCTTGTGAAGTTGTTACAAGCACTGTTTTGATCTGATTTCCTGAATATCCAACACAAGGACCAGATATCATGATAAATTTTTCTTTTTATTTGGTTAGGAATTCTACATCTTGTTAGTTTTTGATACTTAGTTGGCACCTGAAATCTGTGTATCAGGGCCGTCTTCCAAAGAATTTCAGGGGACACAAGTCGGATATTGTTTGGTCAGGAAGTCCTTGGATGTGTGGTAAGCAGCTCAAGCATTACCCTGCTTTCTGTAGGAATGGGATTACGATAGCGGTAAGAATCTAGTAACTGAGCGGAATGTTGTGAATGAGGTGTTTGAAACTTAGAAAGTACATAAAGTGAAAGAGAAAATTGCATTCTTTCTATCTCCTTGTTCTTTTGGTCTAACATCGCTCTTTGTTCTTGATATCCAGGTTCAATCTTTTGTCTTTGTTATGGCAAATGGAGAGAATGACTACATTGCTTATCTGGAAGACATGTATGAGGACAAAAGAGGTTAGAAAAAGGTCAAAGTGAGGTGGTTTCATCATAATCAAGAAGTCAAGGGGGTTGTTCCGCTGTGAAATCCGCACCTGAAAGAAGTTTTTATCACACCATATGCACAAGTCATCAATGCAGAGTGCGTCGATGGTCTTGCCACGATCTTAACTCGTGAACATTATGAAAAATGCTTAGCTGCAATTCCTCATGGTTTCTTGGCCAAAGATGAGGATGGATATGACAATCTCGAGGTATGAAGATCATCATGGTGATGACAATGGCAGCAAAGAAGACATGAAAGAGCTTGAAACCCTCAATCAGAGCTTAAAAGCAATTAAAATGATGGAAGTGACGGTATGGATGTGTCTAACATGAGTGGTTTTTTTCCCTTCTTAGTTCAGAGTCTCTGTAAATAGTTACAAGGTCTTTTGGTGGGGGAAAACGAAAAACTCATTCCATTCCTTCGAAAATTTCGAATTGGTGGCTTCTGTAGGTGTACAGTCACACGTGTTAGGATTTTATGACCACCTGATTTTAACTAACTATATTAGAAAGATAATTTGGTTAGGAACCTCGTAAATGAACCATTCAGTCCTCATGCTTCCATGAAATGACTGAGTATGTGCTTGCTTCTTGTACCTTTGTGTAAAGTTTGAAGTTTATAATGTCGTATAAGATTAAAATTTTCCTTTAGAACCGCCAGAAAATTAACTTGTTTATGACTTGGAAACATGCTCACAATTAGGCTCATATTGTGACATAACTGTAGTGAAAATTGCATACAAAGACAAACGGTTTAAACACACATTTGTTATGCCTTTGAACATACATCACTCTCGTGGGTTATTTTCTCATTTTTCTCTTCAAAACATGTTTTTTTCCCTTCTTAGTTTAGAGTCTCTGTAAATAGTTACAAGGTCTTTTGGTGGGGGAAAACGAAAAACTCATTCCATTCCTTCGAAAATTTCGAATTGGTGGCTTCTGTAGGTGTACAGTCACACGTGTTAGGATTTTATGACCACCTGATTTTAACTAACTATATTAGAAAGATAATTTGGTTAGGAACCTCGTAAATGAACCATTCAGTCCTCATGCTTCCATGAAATGACTGAGTATGTGCTTGCTTCTTGTACCTTTGTGTAAAGTTTGAAGTTTATAATGTTGTATAAGATTAAAATTTTCCTTTAGAACCGTCAGAAAATTAACTTGTTTATGACTTGGAAACATGCTCACAATTAGGCTCATATTGTGACATAACTGTAGTGAAAATTGCATACAAAGACAAACGGTTTAAACACACATTTGTTATGCCTTTGAACATACATCACTCTCGTGGGTTATTTTCTCATTTTTCTCTTCAAAACAAAGAAAAACTAACAACAAAGAAAAGAAGAAAGAAAATCATAGTGACTAGCCCTGATGCCTTGCGGATCCGGTAAAGCCTTGTAATCAAATTATGTCCATGAATCAAGAAATGAAGGTGGTGGGATCAGAACTAGAGTCGGAGCCATTGTTGCCCGTCGATGAATTCCGTGCTTATGTAAGGCCTTATCTGGTCGTAGCTGAAGGGCTTCATCCACGGCACATGCATGTGTTTTCTTGTGGGAGATCTCTGTGATGTACTGCAATTGCCCCACCAAATGAATCCGTTGACTGTAGAACACAATCCCATTGTTCCACAGGACCAAACTCTTATTATCAGAAGTTAATCTAAAATACAAAAGAAAAATGATGTTAACAATTGTTATGAGTTTATTAGTAACTTTATCAGTAAGAAACAAACGAGAATTGTGGGGGACAAAAGTGCAAAAAGCCTAAAAGCTTTTGTGAACGAAAAACAAAAGATACCTAGATGAAATTCCACATGGGATTCTCTTGTGAAAACGAATAAAAGAGGGTTTGAGTTATTACCTTGTAGAATGATCTAGCTCTACCAAAGATGAAGTCAACACTTCCTTGTATGTAAGACTGAAAAAAGTAGTGTGATCCAACGTCATCCAAGAGAGATTCAAGCCAAAAATCTTGACTAAAATAAGAGTTTTGGGTGAACTCTTTTGATGTAACTCAAATTTGTAGTTTTGAATGGTTTGTAATATCTACTTCTTAGAAAAATAAAACATTCCAAAAATCTAATATTCAAACAGCTTATATTTTACAGTTACGTCAACATGCTTTTTTTAGTATTCAAGCAAACTATTATACAACTTTTATTCTCACTTGTGATAATTCTAACTGCATCTGCATTAATTACTAAACAACGAACGGCCAGCGTGTCCCTTTCCATACTTCTACGTCACGTTGCACACCTCTATAAACATTATATCGATAATTATAGGTGTCTTCCCACATTACCTAAACAAATTATATGTGTCTCCTCATATTATTCTTTCCATATTCAATCTCCTATTTGTGTCTCGCTACTAATTCTTTCCAACTTGTTAGAACGACAACAATATTCAATATCCAAATGACTAAAGACTTTTTCAAGCAAAAATAACTTCCAAGACAAGTTCAATAACATGAAATACAATAAATCAGCCAATATACATATTAATACGTTATGTGTTCACTTAATTGCTATAAAAATACATGTTTCCATATACATTGTCGCTTACGTTCATTAACATGAAATACAATAAATCAACCAATATACATATTAATACGTTATGTGTTCACTTAATTACTATAAAAAATACATGTTTACATAATTACGATACATTGTCGCTTATATTCATTAACATGAAATACAACAAATCAGCCAATATACATATTTTTATACTATGTGTTCACTCAATTGCTATAAAAAACATGTTTCGAGGATTAATATACATTGTCGTTTCTTATAACTTAACATATACATCTTTATATATAAATATACACACCTTACATATAAATATACACAAAAATAGCAGATATACATCTGCCATTTCAGTCCAATAAACAGTGAGTGCCGGATTAAAGACCTTGCTTATAATATAACAATATTATTAAAATTATTAATATAATTATAATATTATAAAATATATTATAAAATTATTGGCCCCGTTCATTTCGCTGATTCGAGTTTAGAATTTGAGTTGAGATGTGACTTTATGTGAGAGCTTTTTACTGTAGCAAAAAAGTTAGATGTGATTGTTTGTGAGAACTTTTTACCGTAGAAAAACTCAAATTCTAAACTCGAATCAACGAAATGAACGGGGCCATAATAAACAACAATAATTCAATTATAGGAGATTCTTGGCCCCCCTTTTGCATTACATCATTCCAATCACGTCCTTTTTCTTTTCTTTTTTTTTTTCTCTGTTTTTTTTTTAAATTTGCAATTCCGATGCGTTTCCACTGTATGACGTTAGACCGGAAACTAAAGCCATTTTCAGATGTGATATATTCACTTTTTCTGCATTTTTTTTAACTTATGAATATTTTTTTAGATTCTTTAATACTTGACATATTAAGATTAAAATTTTTTAATTATTAAATATATGCATTTAATTTTTATGTGTTTTTATATAGATTTATAAAAAATTTAACAAATCACCAAAAAAAAATATTTTTTTTTTTGGTTAAATGTTAAAGCAATAGCTTCTTCTGAAGCTTCTAGTGGAAGTCCAGCTCATAAAGAAAGTCATAAGCAGAGTCTAGAAGTTTGTTAGTTTTAGTCATGTAACTAATTTCTCATACTGAAGCCTGAGAATTACGGGATTAGTTAGGACTACTTGCTAGTAATTAAGCACTATAAGTATTGTATTACTATACACTTGATGATGAATAACAGAAATTCAGCTGAGAGCATTCTTTCTCAAAATTTTTATGGTCATTTTCTTCTCTCAAAACACTAGTTTTGTCTTGGTATCAGAGAACTTCTTTCTCTCAGAGAGACGAGATTTAAAAAATATTTGATGGATAAATTTAGAATTATAATTTAAAATTATTTTTAATTTATGTATTTTTTTGAAAGCAAATATTAGAGCATTCTTTCTCAAAATTTTTCTGGTCATTTTCTTTTCTTAAAACACTAGTTTTGTCTTTGTCTTAACATCGGAGAGCTTCTTTCTCTTCGAGAGACGGGATTTAAAAAATATTTAATTGATAAATTTAAAATTATAATTTAAAATTATTTTTAATTTATTTATATATATATTTTTAAAAAAATATTATAATTAATCATAAATTATAATTTAAATCATGTCTCGAATCTACTGACTAAACTACCAACTAAACGCTCGTTTAATGACTAATGTTGGAGATTATGGTTCTTCGTCTTCATATAGTTCTACTGGAGTTTCTTCTTCTTCTTCCCTAGCGCAACGAGTGAATCCGTTTAATTCATCTTTCAGCACAGCAATTTCTGTTCGGTTGGACCGAGAAAATTATCTTGTTTGGAGATCTCAAGTTTTTCCGGCTCTTCGAGGCCATGATCTGGCAGGTTATGTTCTCGGATCTTGATGAATCTGGGAATCTGGTTCGAAAACCTAATCCTGAGTATGCTCAATGGATGCGAGAAGATCAGTTGTTGCTAAGCTGGCTTCTCTCATCATTGACAACTCCGATTCTTCGCGGCGTCGCTCGCTACAAGACATCAAGTGCTGTTTGGAAGGCTCTTGAGCTTCTCTTCTCAGTGCGAGCAAAGGCAAGAGTTCTGCCATTGAAGATCCAGCTACACACAACGAGGAAAAGATCTATGAGTGTTTATGATTATTTCGCTAAAATGGAAGGAATAAGCGATTCACTAGCCCTAGCAGGGTATGAAGTGCCAGAGGAGGATTTGATCCTATCAATTCTTGCTGGATTACCGCAAGAGTATGATGTTGTGGTCTATACCATCACTCATCAAGCAGAAACTGGAGATCTGTATGTTCAGGCAATGGTTCTGAGTCAGAGTCAGGAATACATAATTGAACAACAAACTGCAGCAATAATTGAGTTGCAAAGTGCTACTACAAATCTTGCAGAGCGTAGTGGCCATGGAGTTGTTCATGGTGGTCGAGCTTCTGGATCTCAAGTTAGAGGTCGAGGACGAGGTCGTGGTTATTATTCAGGCAATTCTAAGCCAATATGTAAGATCTGTGGCAAACAAGGCCATATAGCTGTTGCTTGCTAGCATCAAATGGATGAGAATTATCAAGGAGTTCAAGCTAGTTCCACAACTTGAACAAAGCTGCAGCATACTTTGCTACACCGGAAACTGTGATGGATCCCAGATGGTATGTGAATAGTGGAGCCACAAATCATGTCACAGTGGATCTTGAGAATCTGACTCTCAAGACTGAGTATGGAGGTTAGGAGAAGCTAATGGTTGGCAATGGTAAGTGTCTTAACACCACGCATGTTGGCTCTACAATGTTCTTCATGTTCTAAACATTTAGAAAAATCTTATCAATATATGACAATTGACCGCTGAAAATAATGTCTTTGTTGAATTTCATTCTAATTTTTGTCTTGTCAAGGAAAAGGACACAAAGAAGGTCCTGCTGCACGGGACACTTAAGGATGGTTTTTATCTGCTGAGTAAACTAGAAGCTAAAGCTGTTTTGTCCTGTACAAGTGTGTCTTTTCATGTTTTATGTGTCTCTATTAATAATGTCGTTTTTGACAAGTCTTTGTTTGGTACTAAACATGCTGAGTCTAGTTCTGATATGTCTGTATATAATCTGTCAAAAAGGTCTTGTTCTACTTTTTCTGTGTCCACTGCCCTAAGTGCAGATGTTTGGCATAGGCGTTTAGTCCACCTTGTAACAGAACATTGTCTATTATACAAGTATTGTAAATAAATGCCAAATATGTTCCCGTTTCTTTTTGTACTGCATGTCAATATGGTAAAAGTCATGTTTTACCTTTCAAACTCGCTGAAACAAAAACTAAAAAGCCTCTTGAATTGATACCCACTGACTTGTGGGGACCATCCCCAGTTTTATCTTCTGAAGGATACATATATTGTATTCATTTCTTAGATGATTTCACTAGTTCACCTGGACTTTTCCGCTTCGCACTAAGGGGGAAACACTTTCTGTTTTTCAACAATTTAAGCTTCATGTTGAAAAATATTTTGATCTTCCTATTAAGTCCGTTCAAAGTGATTGGGGTGGTGAATATAATTCTTTTTCTAATTTTCTTACTCAACATGGTATTGGTTTTCAACATCCTTGTCCTCATATTCATCAACAGAATGATCGAGTTGAACGAAAGCATAGACATGTCACAGAACTAGGCCTCACTTTGTTAGCTCAAGCTCACATGCCCTTGTCTTTCTGGTGGGAAGCTTTTTCTACAGCCACTTATCTTATTAACAGGTTACCTACTCCAGTGTTATGTAATATTTCTCCTTTTCAAAAACTATTTGGTCATGTTCCAGATTATGCTTTTCTCATGGTGTTTGGGTGTGCCTGTTTTCCACATTTTCGTCCTTATAATTCTCATAAATTTCAGTTTCGTTCTTCTAAGTGTGCTTTCTTGGGTTATAGTGCTCATCATAAGGGTTACAAATGTTTACATCCCTCACGTCGAATCTTAATTTCCAAAAATGTCGTCTTTTGTGGAACTAAGTTTCCATGTGATTGCTGGTTTCGACACAACCCTTCCTCTGTTTTTGTTTCAGGACTGCCTACTGTTACTTTCACTCTACATGGCCAAACTGCTGCCACTGGTTTTACACACAGATGAATCTCTTCCCTCTGTCTCACGTGAGATACAATCCTTTTCTTCTTCTCCTATTACTTCTTGTTCTCCTCATCATAATTTCTCCCCTATAGCTTCCTCATCTCCTTCTGTTGCACTGAATGTATTACCTGTTCCACCTGCGTCTACACGTTCCTACTCTCATTTTAGATGTTATCCAATCTGAGTCTACACCACCTTTTGTTTCACAACCTGCCCCAAAAGTCACTTCCACACATCCCATTGTTACTAGGTCTCAAAAAGGTATTTTTAAACCAAAAATATACTCTTCTATCAAACATCCTTTGTCTGTAGAGTCTGGTCCTATTGAGCCCACTAGTGTGCAGATTGCACTTGCCGATGCTAATTGGAAAGCTGCTATGGAGGATGAATATCATGCTCTCATAAAGAATAGCACGTGGGATTTAGTTCCTTACTCTGATTCTATGAATGTTGTGGGAAATAAATGGGTCTTTAAATTGAAGTTGAATCCCGATGGTACCATTTAACGCTACAAAGCACGTCTTGTGGCAAAAGGTTTTTTGCAGACCCCGGTAGTTGATTTTTCAGAAAGTTATAGTCATGTTATTAAATCTAATATTGTTCGTGTGATCCTTACTTTGGCTGTGCATTTTAGGATATCAAGCAACTTGATGTTAATAACGCGTTCCTTAATGGTACACTTTGAGAGACTGTGGTCATGCACCAACCCGAGGGATTTGTCAGCTCTACTCATCCTACTCATATGTGCGGATTACATAAAGCTTTGTATGGTCTTAAGCAGGCTCCTCGTGCCTGGTTTGATCGCCTTAAGTCCGCTTTGTTTCACTGGGGTTTCACTAATACTAAGTCTGACACTTCTCTCTTTGCGTATAAGGATTCTTCTGTTTTATTGTTGCTGCTTATTTATGTGGATGATATTCTAATCACTGGTAATCAGCCTTCTCTTATTGCTAAGCTTACTAAAGACTTGAACAGTCAATTTGCTCTGAAGGAGCTTGGTTCTCTTCATTACTTTCTTGGTATTGAGGTGTTTTGTGATTCCTCCGGTCTTTATTTCTCTCAATCCAAGTGTATTGTTAATCTTCTAAAATGTACTAACATGCATGGTAAGACCCTGTCTCGAACTGAAAGGGAGGCAATGAAGGATTCTACTGTCTACCGCAGAACTTTTGGGGCTCTACAGTATTTGACGATTACCTGGCCTGACATTTCTTACATAGTGAGCAAGCTGAGTCAGTTCTTACAGAGTCCAACTGAAGTACATTGGCAGAGGCGTGTAAGAGAGTGTTGACCTTCGTTTGTGGGGAGGTGTTAAAGCAATAGTTTTTTTTTTTTTTTTCTGAAGCTTCTAGTAGAAGTCCAGCTCAGCAAGAAAGTCATAAGCAGAGTTTAGAAGTTTGTTAATTAGTTTTAGTTATGTAACTAATTTCTAATTACTGAAGCCCAAGAATTACGGGATTAGTTAGAACTACTTGCTAGTAATTAAACACTATAAATATTGTATTACTGTACACTTGATGAATAATAGAAATTCAGCTGAGAGCATTCTTTCTCAAAAATTTTCTGGTCATGTTCTCTCTCTCCAAACACTAGTTTTATCTTTAGGCCTCGTTCACTTCACAGATTCGAGTTTTCAATTCGAGTTGAGATATGACATTTTCTGAGAGCTTTTCACTGTAGCAAAAAAAGTTAGATGTGACATTTTCTGAGAGTTTTTTACTGTAAAAACTTAAAACTGAAAACTCGAATCGATGGAATGAACGAGACCTTTAAATAAATTCAGATAGATGGGTTAACGAAGGTGACTTTAAGACTTGTGAAGCTAGCGTGTTAATTGGTTACGGACTTTCCAAGCAACATCAAAACGACGTGGTCTTGGTAAACTTTTCCAACGTATGCCTATTCCATTCTTCGATCTGCTTATAATATTTATGTAACTTACTTCCCCACGTTATGCTTGTCGACACATTCTATCGTTTGGTTTTACTTTAGAATTTATGAACTAAAATGATGAGTGCTCATTTTTAATAGGATGTTTAGGGAAAATGAAAACCAAGTGTGCCAGAAAAATTACTAGCTAGAATCTGACGCTGTTCAGTTTGAGTACAGATTTGAAGGGGTTTTTTTTTTTTTTTTTTTTTTTTTTTGTTTTGGGGACAATTTTGAGGGGGTTTTTTTTTTTTTTTTTTTTTTTTTGTGTTGGTGGGGAACAAACTTGCGTAGTAGTTTCGATAGAAATTACAGTTTACAAACTTAATATTCTTGTTTCAAGCCATGTTACACACATTGTGTTAGTGTTACATTTGAGTGGTGGTTTTGGACAATTTTGAAGTAGTGATAGAGATTTTCAAGCAGAAAAAACGAAAAAACAAAAGTAGTGATAGAGACTCAAAAAGAAAATAAATGCGCCGATGTGAGTTTAGAATCGCAATCAGGTGTTACACAAACATCTTATACTATTTAAGAGTTTAATAGCGCAATCATGAGCTGTTATACAAACATTAACTTATATTTCCTATAATTACCATGCCGTTCAGCAATTGAGTTGCAAAATTTTTTAATATGTTATACCCATTTTCTAATTCATATAAAATTATTGTTACACCTTTTAATTGAATTATAAATTACTATTTTTTAGGTCAGGCAATGTCATTCATTCTTATGTTGTTGGTTATCGAACTGAAGACTTTACCTAATGTAATTTCATATAAGATTTTTTTTTTCCAAACTATCATATAATTTTTTTATTTGATATTGCAGTAACGTCCTTCACTTTTTTTTTTTCTTTAGAGACTTATTCAGATTTTCCACGCCGCCCACAGACATAGATTGGGGGGAGCTTTTTACATTTTTCACTTCTTTTCCTTTTGTTTTTATTCATCTGTCTTGGAAAGCTCTTATTACTGATTTCCGTGGCCAGTGGCAAAGGCATTCTAGCCGCCGACTCCAAATCCCAAAACCCGGCCCCACAAGCCCCAGTATCCATCTCAGCCGTACACACACCAACTAAACTCGTTCCTCAAATTCTCATTTACACGAATACTTTTTTCCTACAAAGCTAGCTCCTGCCAACCAACCAGCCAACTTTTTTGTTTTTCCACAAAATCAAACCCCAACAAAATTCCACGCTAATAACCCGTCAAAAGGGTCATTTTTTTAACTTTTTAAGAAAACCCACAGAAGCTCCCAAGGAACTATCGAGGAAAATCCCCATAACCCAAAGCCCACGTCCCTCTCTCTCTCTCTCTCTCTATTATCTCTATATATTCTTCCCAACCAAACTCATACACACTGATGCCAATTGCCAAAACAACATATGGCTTCGATATTAAAAAAACATTACTTCAAAGACCACCACCGGCCAACCATGCCCGTCGACGGCCGGTGCAAGAAACACCCCAAACACCGCCAATCGCCGGGCGTTTGCTCGGTATGCTTGAGAGAAAAGCTTTGTCAGCTCGCCAGTATTCATCCGGGCTCGCGTAGAACTAACAACATTTCGACCACAACGCGCTCTCCCGGCTCCTCAACGACGTCTTCTCTTTCGTCGTATTATTCGTCCTCCTCCTGTTCCTCTTGCTCGTCTCCCATGCAGTATCGCTGTCGTACGTACAATATTAATAATGCTCGTGAAGGAAAAGGGTTATCGATGTCTAGTTTCTTGTTAAGCGGCAACATCAATGTGCTTAAGAAGAGTAGATCGATGGCTTTTGCGATTCCAAGATCAACGAGATCAGGGGCTGATAAAGACGGCTCTGATGATCAGAAGAGGAAAAGTGGATTTTGGTCCAAATTGCTTATTCCTCAAGGGAATAAGAGAGAGACTTTCATGCACTCTAGAACTGTGAGAGAAAGAGTGCATTGATCAATACTGTCGTATATTGAATCAGAAATATTTCTTGGAGCTTGCTGTTACTTTGTTTTCTTTTTTCTTTTTCTCTTATTGTTTTGATTTTATTTTTTAAGTTTTTTCTTTCTGGTTAGAATATATATATATATATATATATATATCTGTGTAATTACTATGGCAGTTTCAGTTTCAGGATTAAAAGAAAAGCAAACGAAACAAGCTAATTAAGAACTGAAAAGAGAGGATTTTTTTTTTTTTGGTGCATGTGTGTATTTTTTGTGTAATGATGTGAATCTTGTGGGGTTGTAAGTTAGAGAGGTATCATTATGCAGCTGATTGTGAATATCAATTCTTAATATCCAATAAATATTCGTGTCGTGTGTATATATGTTGAATTGTTGATGATATTGCTAAGATTAGTATTGTAATTCGAATTAAACGAAAAGAAATGATATTGAATTCTAGGTTTTTTTTTTATATATATCCTTCTGTAGTGTGTGTGTGTGTGTGTGTGTATATATATATATATATATGTATGTATCTATGTTTATTCGTTTTGTAATTGAGACCGAAGAAGTTATTGATCTTTGTCTTAGGTGCACTGATAAGACAGAAGGATCTGTATGAAGAACAGCAAAGAAACAATCTGGCATGACTCGGCCGTTAGCTCACAATATTTTTCATTTTTTTTTTTTTGTGAAGACTATACCCCAAAGTAATTATTAAACTCCACCCATGAAATTTCTTCATTTATTTAGAAAAAATCAATTGTCAGTCCACGCAAGGAATTTTGGGTTGATTTAGAAAAATAAATATTATCATATAAATTATATTCAAGAATGTACGAAAAGCCCTATTTGAGACCTAGTAAAACATGGATATTGTGTTGTCAAGAGGGTGTAACACCATGTTCGGGGCAATTTCCTATAATGTGGGTTGTAAAGTTGGAACTGTGAAGCTGGCATGAGAAAATTGAAAATTCCATCGTGACAAGTGGAATAATTCCACCAATCACATTCTTTGCAACTTCCCCATTTATGACTTCAAAGTCGTCAAGACTAGATTGCATAGTAAGTTATATATATATATATATATTTTGTCTTGGGATGTGATTATAAGTACGCATCTGACTCGTATTCTTCCTCTTTTACATAAGCAAAAAAGGATATTAGCAACAACATAGTGAATAATAATTAAATGCACAGCATATTCTTTCTTTTGTACTGTGATCCATTTTGATAATTATTGTGTAAGATTGATAACGAAAAACACTTTCGACAAACATATTTCTAACATATCAATTCAAATAGTAATACATATATATCTCTTAAGAGTGAATGAGAGAAATAGCATAAATGGAGGGGGCAATTAAAATTCATAGCAGATATTAATTTTAAGTTTAGTAAATAACAACACTTTCGATAAACTTTTCTATAAAAAAAAAAGTTTGACTTAACTCTCTCTCTCCTCCCCTTGCGTTCTTTCTCTCTCTCTTTTTCCCTCACTTTCTTTCTCATCACTGGCGTTCTCTTTCTCTCTCCTCTCATACTTTCTCTTTGTCTCTCTCTCTTTCTTTCTCACCCTCACGTTCTCTCTCTTTCTTTCTCACCCTCACGTTCTCTCTCTTGCTCTCTTTCTCTCTTTGCTTGCTTTCTCTCGCGTCGTTGTCTAAACAATGATTTCGGCGTCACGAGCTTCGCTTCTGCTGCTGTGGTCTTCACAATTCTGGCCTCAAGTGGAGAAAGAGACAGCGATGGGGGATTTGAGACAATTGGGGAGGAGTATTGTTTGTTTATTTTGCTGGAATATGGGTTTGCGTGGATTTTAGGGTTTTCAAATTTATGGATGTCAGTAAATGCAAAATTTACATGGTAAGTGCTTCATTTACCTACAAAAAAGATTATGTTCAATTTTGTAAATGGAGGATTTATATGGTAAATGATGGGATTTATTAGTTAAACAGACACTTTTATGTTGTAAACAGTAAATTATTTTTTGATAAATGACAATTTACACACAAAATCAATTATTTACCTTGTAATTCATGCTTCATTTATCAACATACAAAATTCTATTCAATTTAATAAATAGAGGATTACATGATAAATGATGGATTTACCAGTCAAACAGAGATTATGATGTTGTAAACCACAAGTTATTTTCTGGTAAATTGATAATTTACATGGTAAATTGTAGGGCTGACAATCCGGATAGTGACACGATGACATGACTCGAAACCCGCATGAAGTTAGCTGGTTTGAGTTTATTATAAATGAGTTTGAGTCATAATCGGGTTGACACAATTAACATGATTAATAAATGGGTTGGGTTAGGGATGACCTCTTAACACGAATGACACGAATTGACACGATTAACTATATGTGTCATCTTCAATATAATGATATGTGACATAATATGAAAATTTATATGACATATTAAATACAAATAATGTAAATTTTAATATTTGTAGGTAAATTTCATTTATTTTTCTTAAAGAAAAAGATAAATTGACCAATAAACATATTAAATATGTCTTGACCGTGTTAAATAAGTCATTATTATATTAGTTATTTATTCAATACATTAATTTAAACGGGTTATACGGGTTGACACGATTAACACGATTAATAAATGAGTCATGTTTAGGTTGATATTTTTGACACGTTTAATAAACAGATCATGTTTGGGTTGATATTTTCTCACGCGATTAATAAACGGGTTGACACGAATACGGCCCACTAACATAAATTGCCACCGTTAGTAAATTCTAAGTTTACATGGTAAAATCATTATTTGCGAAAATATAGATTTTGGGTTTCTATGGTAAATGAACAATTTATCAGATAACATTTACCCCATTCACTCTCTTTCCTTTTTCTCTCATTCTCTCTCTCATCACCATCAATAAACTCTCATCCTCTCTCTCATCACCATCAATAAACTCTCATCCTCTCTCTCATCACCCCATCAATAAACTCTCATCCTCTCTCTCATCATTATTGAAACTCTTCCATGGATAGAATTTAGTACACCATATATATATATTAAAATTTTAAAATATGCTATAAATTTTTATTCATCTGCTATTTACTAAACAACTAAAACATTATATGCTATTTACTACTTTAAGTTTGGGAAATCTGCTATTTACTACAAATTAGAATTAATTACTCAACTCTCACTCCATTAAATCTGACAAAATTAGTAACTTATTAAACACAAGCTAAAAAAATAGAATCATTATCTTATATGAAATTATATAATTGATCACGTAATTCAACTTTTCTGGGGATCATATCCTTCCTCTTTTGCATAAGAAAAAAAAGTACATTGTGAACAATAATTAAATGCACAGCATATTCTTTCTCTATTGATAAGAATAATGCGCAGCATGTCTATGTGTTCTAATGTGGAATTAGGACAATTACCCCTTTTGCAAGTAATAACATCCAGCTAATAACGTCTCCATTATTCTGATGGACCAACTGAAATGGTTTAATTGTTATAATAATCCAACAATTTTCCTTCCTCTTCTCGCAATATCTTGGTCTGGAATAAAATCGGATCCTGTATATTTTCTAAGATCCGGTTTCTAAACATCTCATACTTATATTTTATACTTTTATTTATCACATAAAAGAGATTTAATTATTTTTTCTTCATTTATTAATTACAATATCGAATTGTTTTTTAGAAAATAATCTATTTAATAATATTAATAAAGGTGATTCTATTCACACACTCATTTTTACTCTCCAATCCTTTCTTTAAATTTTAATTCCTTATTACAAAAAGACCATCCAATAAAAATGACAAAAAACAACGATTATCATAACTTAATTACACAATTGAATTTTATTATAAAAAAACTAATTACATATTTTTTTTTCTTTCAATACACCCCGCATATTATCATCCCAAATTTTATGTTTTTTTACTAATTATTTTGCTTTTAATGGATGATCATAATTGGCCTTTTGTTTTTATAAAGTTACAAATGTTTTTCATCTTTTTATGTTTCGTTCTCTCTCTATTTTCTTATACTCTTTAGAATTTGTTTTTTTATTTATTTTTCTGTTTTGTCTTTTTTATCAATACCTCAATAGATATAACAATTATGTTGTCATTATGCTTATATTTATGTCCTTTATTTCTCTTCAAAATGTAATAGTAAATTTTTTTATGTATGAGAAAAGACTTGATGCCCAAAATTATTTAAAAAATAAAGATAAAAAATGATATTATTAAAATAGAAAATTAAAATAAAATGGTGGTGTGAAAAAAATAGAATGTTTAAGAATTAATAATTTTATGAAAATAGCCAGGGTAATCTTAAAATATTAAAGATATGTAAAAAGTAGATTTAATTCTTTCAAAAGTGTGTAGTTAAAAAGTGTGTAAAGAGTAAAATGGGAATGTTAATAGAACCACTCTATTATTAAATTTGTTTTCTCAAATAACGAGTGGAATATTTGTTAATTGGAAAATGGAAGTTGATATAAAGGAAGGCAGGCAAAAGAGCAACTGACATCTTGTTAATGTCCAGTAGATACAAATTTTGTCTGTTGTCTCTCATTCAAGTCTCCTATCATGTTAGGAATTAATTCTTAATTTGTACTTTTCGTATCTTCTAATGGCCATGAATTAAGCCCTTTCTCTCTCTCTCTCTACATATATACTGTATATGTGTGTGTGTATACACATAAAGATCCATTGATTCTTTCCAATAATTCCTGCTCCAATATCAATAATTTCCGTTCAGATAATTTCTCTCTTCTTTTGTTCTTAACACGTACTTTGTAGCTCTCATTTGGTCTCTGAACTACCCACTCCCGCATCACATGTAGATTTGGTGGTAATGAATATGAAGAGAAAAAAAAACATGAGTATTATATATAGATTAATCCTAGTGATGGGAAAATTTTAGAGCAAGTAAATGCGTCGTATCAAGTAATATAAAATGTGTGAATGAGAGTGTCAATCATGCGAAGAATGTGTTTAATTTTTATTAAGTACTAAAAAGAATTAGTTCTATGGATTATTTGAACCATCGATAAAAACAAAAAGAGAATTTAACTAC